GTAGTAGTAGTAGTAGTAGTAGTAGTGATGTTGTTTTTGTGGGATTGGTTTGGGTTATTTTGTGCTGGTGTGTCCCTCTATGTTCTCACTGAGTACAATGTATACTAAACTTGCATATTATACTACTTTGTGGGAAGAAATAACAATTCTAGAACCTGAACTTCTTCCCCATACCTCGTGTCAGTGATATTATTCAAGCAACAGTAAGAAAGCTACGCCCGCTCCTTTTTCTTTTTTCCCCTCTTAATGTTTGGGCATGTTTCCGACTAAATCGAATTCGATTGTGACAACAAAAAAATATTAACACACCAGTTATATTTTGGCTCTTTTTTCGAGGAAGGTAAACATGCATTATATTAAACTTACTTCTACTTTGGAATTCGTATTATGAGGTCGAAATACAGGGTGATTAAAAAAACAAACAAACAAAACAACTTTACAACTCTTTTAGTTAATATTTTCCTCCATGCTGAAGTTTTGAACATTAGATTAGGAAGCCATAAGGAATGTGTCTAACATTCATTTTAGATAATTCCAGAAATTTGGTTTGCTCTATATGGCGAAATAAAAAACAACAACCCATGTTCAATCTTTTCCCATTTTTTTTTTGTAGCGTGGCTCACCAGTTTGCATTTGGCCTGTCAGTAAAAGTAAGTTGCAACGATCGCACCATTTTGCGTGCAACTGCGGCCTAATACGGGTGCCCACTACGGCTGGATCGGGGCGATCGCCCGACTCCATCGCCTGAAACTGAAAACAAACACGTTTGTTTTTTAGGCGATCGAGTCGACAGATGTATGTAGATATAGTTTTTCCAAACTGTTTTTAGCCTGTTGAGACAATGGTTAAGTTTAATAACGAGCAGAGCACTTTTGTATCGAACATTACCTCTCCACCGACTCACCATCCATGACATTGTAAGTTCCGTACACGGTGTGAAAAGAATACTAAAGTGCCCTCAACACCTTTGGTGTCACGAGCAGAGAAGTTTCATGTCATTGGATCTGTAGTGAAAGAGAACTAAAATTCCCCAAACAAAATGACCACTATAGCTCGAACACGCTCCATTTGCAGCCCATCACCAAGGTGCAGATTTCAGTAGTCAAGTCCCATGAGATATCTGACCCAAGACGATGTCTGCAGCAAGGACTTTCTTACACCTGAAAAGTCTGCATTCTCAAGACAGATCTTAACCTATGACTGTATCATTTTCATGTTCGTGAGGCCGAGTTAACATGGAACAGAGAATGGCAACGTGTTCATGATTCCTTAATCCTGTTAAAAAGAGTATACATTTCTTCGATGACATTTGGTTACGTGCAAAGCAAATTTTCAGTTTCAGGATATGAAAACTCCAAAAATGCTTTCAATAGGCAACACGCCCCATATTGTCTCTTGACGCCACTTAATACTGAATAATGTACAGTGTGTGTGGCTTTTAAACACTCATGGTTAAGCGGGTCCTTGTGTTTAGCCGCCATTGTACATTTCAAACGACACATTGAGTCCAAATGAAGGCATGTAGAGCACTGCTTCTAGGAATTCCAGAATACGAAGGTTAGTTTTTGATTCTGCAAAAGAGAAAATAAAGGAAAAAACAACAAATTGTTTCACGTTTTCATTTAGATAGATTTTTAAAAATTGGTAAACTCTGCCTTTATGGGCGTGGTCTTTTTTCTTAAAGCCATTTCCGTTTTCAAAATAGATTTCTTAAACATGAATTTTCTTTTATCAAACAAATTCCTTTTGAATGAATTATATCTGTTCCAAATTACATCATTTTAGAACAATGGCTGTGGGATATATTCAGAAAAGAAGTTGTAAAGTTTTTTTTGAGATTACTCTGTATTTATCTCCAGATAGATACGTGATTGGGGAGAATGAGAG